GGGGGGGGAGGTATGGTAGGGGCAAAGGCCCCCTCCCAGAGAGTCATACCGGGGCTGCTTGCTTTACCCCTTCCTAACCTTGTCAAGGAGTGAAAGCAAAGTGCACAGCTCATCTACCCCCTGCACTTGTTGTACCAAATAAAAGCAAGCAGGATCTTATGAGGGGGATAAGGCAAAAAGCCACATTTATTGTAAAGATAATAATAAAAAATAAAGAAAAGATAGAAGCAAACAACGTTGTTTAACTACTTAACCCTTATACATATAAACATTCATTCATCCATTCATTCAGGTTCTGTGTATTTGTTGTAGTTACCAGCCTGGAAGTTGCTTGTGACAGGATACTGGCCAGGTACTCTGTACACAAGTGATGGTAGTGGGGAGCGAAGTCCTGATCAGATGCGCATCTGAAGCTCCTGGTAGGCTGGCAGCAGAACCTTGGACTCTGATTCCATAGTTTTTTAGTCCAGTTCTTATAGGAATTTCTTCCTATGCCAGTCTATGGAAATTGCTGTATCATGCTGATGTCTCCAGGGTGGCTGCCAGGTGCTCATCAGTGATCTCATCGGGTGGACCTCCAGTTTCTCCACTTGACACCTTTTGGTTGCACTGGCACCTGACGCCTTCTTCAGCCCTTTGTTGCTGTATTCTCAGGCTGGCACCTCTTAGAACCATTCACTCATCATCCAAGCACTCTCTCTCTCTTACATACATTCCTTAATGTTTCCCATACAATGTTTTTGTATAATAATAACTTTACATATATCAGAGTTGTAGTTACAAAAAGTTTCTGGTAATAATAACTTTACATATATCAGAGTTGTAGTTACAGAAAGTTTCTGGGTGGTATTGCTTAAAACATTCTCTGAGTGCTGAATAAAGTTACAATGTTTTAAAGAGAACAGGCCTCAATTAAGTAACAATGCCCTTAAGTCAATTACAGGGCTTGGCTCCCATAGCAGAATTAGTGGCTTGACAATGCATTGTTACAATGTATCTCTGCAATGTCAATTTCAAGCAGCCCCTTGCACAAGCTTGAGTATGCCCTGGAGCGCGGGGGGGGCCTGTTTCTGGTTACATAGGATTATATTCTTAACAGTTAGGATTATATTTTTAACAGTTCTAAGTTACATGACCTAATATATTATATTCTAAAGGGACAATAATAATAATAATAAATCTAAACATTTAACAATCTTAACTAATAATAATAATAATAATAATAAGAAGAAGAATTAATAATAAATCTAAACACTAAGTTGTGGGGAACAAATTATGGGGAGTCACTTCCATTTGGAGGAATCATTTTCAATACATTAATATGTTATCCCTACAGGGGAAGGGAGGAGAGTGACTAGTTGACTATCCTGTCAACTAGTCCTTCACCTCCTTACCCAATCCCTCTCCACAAAATATTATTTTACAAATGATTCCAGGTAATTTAAGACTGGCATTTCATAGCTGTGTTTACTCCAAAGTTAACACACTACATAATCAAAGTTAAATTTGAATGTTTCTTCATCATCATGTACTTATGAGATCATCAAGATTAGTACTTACTTGAGCTCTCTACTAAGCACTATATTAATTCTATCTTTTAAAGGGCGATTCTTCTCAGGAATCGAGAACCAAGTCCTCCTACCCATTATCAACACATTCTGTTTACCTGTGTAATATAAAAAAAATAAAGAGTTGTAACTTAATACACGATCAAAGTTGGTGGTTTAGTGACATCTAGAGGACTCAACTGTTTAAATAAATTCAAAGAAAAATGGGGTTAATAAGTTTAAGTGCAAATTGAAAACCTTAGCAAGACTAAATGCAAATAAAACATCAAGCTTAGGCCCAGATCCTGTGATTACTTCTATGACTAAAATAGCAACATACATAAAGTGTTTTTAGGATCTGGGCCTTGCTAGGCACTCTTCAAGTCAAACAAAAACATACGTTTTAATATAACTATATACTTTATAATTAACAGTACTACCTTCACTATCCAAAAGAAAATAGCTTCACAGCTGCTTTGATCTGGCCCTAAGTTCCTGAAACCCTGTTTCTTTTCACTAGAACCAAATTACAACATGTTCAGTATCTGCTATTGAAACTCACAAGCATTTCAAATATCTTTTTCACAAAAATATACAACCAAGATCTCACAAACTTATAGAAAAACAATTCTGCCATTGCAAACATTTCCAGGAAGCTAATGCAAACCCAGGAAACAAACTCACCTACATGAAATGAACGGGACTGTTTTACAAAGCTGTACTTTGTCTCAAACTTAACTATTTTAAAATGTTAGTGAAAAAAATAAGAATAGTCACACTACTATTCAGTGTACTAGTTTAGTAGACCACTACCACTACATGATGCACTGTGTGAACCCAAAGTGTACAAATGAAAGCACTGACAATCATGCATAGAATTAGGTGTAAACTGAAGCTACACACAAGCACAATAATGCTGGTAAAGATAAAGCTTTTGGAAGCTTATTTAGAAACTTTTAAGTGATGATACCTTGTATAAACTCTTGAATTGCAGATTGGACCTCCCTGATCCAGCACCCTGGGGACCTGAGCAATCCCAGATCAGGGAGTTTGCCAGACCAGGGGTGGTTAATGCTCCCCTGCTGGCTGTCCTGTTTCTGGCTCCTTTCCCTGGGGCCTCAAAGGCTAGGGCTCCCCACCCTGCCAACTCTGACCCAGGTGGGGCTCCTGTCATTGTCAGGATTCCCAGCTGGGACCACTTGGCTGCTAGTGCCAGGGTTCCCTGGAGCTCTCCTGTGGGGCCTCTCTGCCACCGCCGGTCCTGCTGCCTCTAGGGGTTCTCCAGCTGCCACCTTGCCTTGTTGCCACTGGGGAGTCCCTTGCCAGGGCCAGGACTCTCCAGCCATCAAGGTATCCCAGCCACCAGGGGTTTCCTGGGGTTCCCCTGTTGGGCTGGACCTGATGCTGCTGTGGATTCTCCGGTTGCCTGGCCCCATTGCCACTGGGAGGTTCCCCAGCCATGGCCTGGGCTCTCTGACCCACATGGCCCTGCAGTTCCTTAGTCCAGCTGTTGCTGACCTGGCTGGGATTCCTCAGCCCTCACTTTCTCCCAGCTGGCTCCCCTTCCCAGCCTCTGCGGCTCTTGGGCAAGGCCATAGGGATGTTGCTGGACCAGAGAGTCCTGGATTTGGGAGGTTCAGCCTGGAGCCTGCTTCTCTCCTCCCACATTCAATAATTATTTCATTTTGAGATCTAATTTAATAAGCCATTCATTTCTCTTTGCAGCAATAACAACAAAATTGAAAGCTACATACCAATATGCATATAAATGTCATGCCAAAGATGTGCACCTATTGCACTGAGGTGAAAGGGAAGGAGTGATTTAGGGTTGTGGTCAAGCATTATAACTTTAAAAGGGATGTTGTTCAAGAACACTGTCATAGTTGGGGCAAATTTGCAAGAATTAAAACCTCAGATAAAATTGTAGCTACATGTTCAAATTAGATTAACATTAGGTATTAGGATGCTTCTAAATGAGTAAATTAGGACTTGACTACATGGAGGTTGTGCACTGGTTTAAGTTGAGTTACTGGGCACCTAAAACACGAGCATGCATGTGATAACGCATCATGCAATGACGCTGTACTTACTGTATTCTGGAATGCTCTTGCAAAGTGGACCAAGTCTGCTGCAAATTGACTTTGTTTGGTCTGTTGTTTGTGTACATGAAACAGCTGCACATCACTTTTGCATGCCTCCAATGGCTATTCCACATCACTCTGAGGTTGACTTATACGGACTTCTCCATTTACATGTGTGCCTTCACCTGCTCTGGTGTCAAGTTCATAGAGTAAACCGTTCTCCTTTGAGCAACTGACACATGGAGCCGGATTTTGCCCATTTACTCCTGGGTTTGAGTGTTTCAGCATTCTTGTGATATTACAGAGATTCTACTCCACAAACATCACAAAATGCTGCAGCTCTCGCAGCAATTTGGGGAGCAGCATCAGTGCAGGAAGATCTTGTGGCCCGCTACTGTAATAAAGACCTGTGTGTGGACACTGCAAAGATGATGTCTGTGAGGGGTCATCAATGGAAGTGTGGACACTGCAAAGAAGATGTCTGTGAGGGGTCATCAATGGAATGCCTACCAGTGCTGAATAAAGAGTGCACAGTTCAGAAAGGTTTACATTAAAATCTTGGATGCAAGGTAAACATAAGGCAGGATTCATGACATCTTCAATTTTATGAATAGGGTCCTATCAAATTCATGCTCTATTTTGGTCAATTTCATGGGTCTCTCTCTCTCTCTCTGTATATGTATATGTATAAAAATAAAAGAAAGTTTCCTGCAGAATGACAGAGTGAAGTCATGCATCACTCCATGTCCCACAGCCCCTCCCTCTGCCATCAGCCACGTGGCCTCCCCTTTCCCCTATGCTTTGCAGGAGCTGCAGCCATGCAGCCTCCCCACTCTGCTCTCCCCTGTGCTGGAGGAGTGTGGGAGCTGCGAGTCTTGTGGCTCTCAGGACGTATGGCCTCGTCCCTAGTGCTCTAGTAGTCGTGCAGCCTCCTGCCTCCCTGGTGCTTAGGGCCAGGGGGAGCGACCCGGGCTCACCACTGCCCAATTCCTCTGGCCGCTGGAGCAGGGAGAGATGTGAAGTGGGTAGAGCCAGGTTTGGTGAGATTGGGGGAGGGGGGAAGGTAGAGTCTAGCCTGCCCCCAGCATCCAGGAGGAGAGAGCTGGGGCAAGGGGCCTTGGGATGGGGCAAGAACTGAGGCGACCTTGGAGCTCGACCCTTCCCAGTGACCGGGGGTAGGGGGAGGGGGCTAGGGCAGCCTCAGATCTTCCCTGGTGGTGGTGGGAAGGACCTTGACCCAGTCCCTCCTGATGGCTGGGGGAGGGCGGAAAGCCTGGCCTGCCCCTCCCCATGGCCGAGGAAGAGCCCATCCCAGCATCTCCCGGTGGCTGGGGGGAGAGCACAGCAGGGCTTTGGCCCACACTCCGCCCTCCCTGGTGGCTTGGGGCAGAGCTGGGCATCACCTTACCCCAGCCTTGGGGGTGGGGGAAGAATGCAAAAATCTGGGGCTGGGAGAGTCAAAGAACTCCCACGAGCTAGGGTGGCCTTGTGGCTGGGCCCTCCGTGGTGACCGGGGGCAGGAAGGAAGAGCCAGGTTAGGGTGGCCTCGGACTCTCCCTGGTAGTGGGGGAAGGGAAAGAACCTTGGTTCAGCCCCTCCTGGCGGCTGGGGGAGCCCCCAGGAGAGCCAGGGCTGTGTGGGGAGGTCTTGAGGCTGGGCCCTCCCCCAGTGCCAAGTGGGAAGAGCCGGGTCCAGGGCAGCCTCTGACCCTCCCTACTTGTGGTGGGGAGAGAGCTGGGGCCAGGTGGCCTCAGCCCCAGGCCCTCCCCATCCAAGAGGGGGGGGTTGGTGAATGTAGCGAGCAGGGGTGAGGTCCCGTAGTAGGATTTTAAAAATAATGTATTTGAGTTTTTTAAATCTGAAGTTTCATGGTGTTTTAATTGTAGGGGTCCTGACCCAAAAAAGGAATTGTGTGTGTGGGGCTCACAAGGTTATTATGGGGTGTGTGTGGTGGTACTACCACTTTAATTCTGCGCTGCTGTGTGTGGCAGCTGCTGGTATTCTACACAGTTTCAATGGGGTATATAAAAATACATAACATACACTAGACAATTTTATGGCAGGTCAGTTAAGACATATGCTAATAAATCAATATATTGAGGTTTATCCAGTTAAAAAGGTTGAAAGTTTCCCAATAATAAGATAGCTGGCATTGCTCATGGGTCTATATGATTTTGCTGGCATACACACTCTAAAGGAGCTAAAGTTTCTTAAGGTCATATCTGAACCAAGACAGTGAGGACACCCCACAATTTTATGGCAGGTCAGTTAAGACATATGCTAATAAATCAATATATTGAGGTTTATCCAGTTAAAAAGGTTGAAAGTTTCCCAATAATAAGATAGCTGGCATTGCTCATGGGTCTATATGATTTTGCTGGCATACACACTCTAAAGGAGCTAAAGTTTCTTAAGGTCATATCTGAACCAAGACAGTGAGGACACCCCAGAGAAAAAAAAAAAAAAAAAAAAAAAAAAAAAAAAAAAAAAAAAAAAAAAAAACAACAAGAAGAGAGGGGGGGGGGGGGGGGGGGGGGGGGGGAGGAAGGAATGTCAAGTAGAACATTTTTTAAAAAATTAACCCCTAAAAATATATATAAAAAATCTGTGCAGTTTGCATTTATTCTGAAGAGTTATACTATTCCTACCATTAGTATATAGATTTTTTAAACATTTGGTTTAAAGTTCTATGTTTTGATTTAGAGAAAATAAAAAACCTTTTTCAGAATATAAAAAGAGTTAGTGTCTGAAGTAAACTAAATAGTTCAATTTCTACTTACATTGACAGGTGAAAACATGATAAAAAACGATTTCTACATCTTAATTAGGTCTATGTAATTTGTAAATTATTAGACTTTCATTCGGCTGGTCAAATTACATTCTAAAATAAACCCATTATGAAAACATAATTGAATAGAGCATGTGAGCTACACAGATAGTTCAGTGCAGCAGAGAGGTTATCAGTGTAAAAAAACTTTGTAACTAGAAGGTGAAAAGATACACTTGTAAACTTATTTTATACTAAAACAGCAATAAAATCAATGTAATCAGGGAAAAGTTACTAATATTTTCAATTTAGTTACATCACAGAAAGACATTTTTAATAAGTAGAAGCCTAAAACCCAAATATTACCTTCTGCAGTGGTCATCATAGTCATTCTTTGAAAATATTTAAACTCATTCCTAGCAAAAGAAAAAGAAAAAATCACAATGTACTGGGTGTATGGATTTTTTAATGATAAAGAAAAATATAATTTAAATACATTTTAAATAAATGTAAGCAAGTTTATAGCCGCTGAGGTGTCATGCTGAATGCCCTGGAGCCTGAAGTCCTCGATTCATCTAGCTCTGCCGCAGATGCTGTAGTATCGAAAGCTACAGTGCTGAGAACCCGCCTGAAATCTCAACGTTCCCTCCTACGTTCATGTGAAGAGAGTGATCCAGCGCCCAATGCAGGCTGCTGGGACCGAGCCTGGGCTGGGCCCGCTCACGCTCGTTTCCTACAGGAGATCAGAAGACGCTGCTCGCTACTACTGATCCGCCTGGCTTCGGACACCGGACAGAGAAAGGCCTCACGTGCAGCCAAGTGACCAGCGGCCAGACCCGCTAAACCTCCGTCCTACAACGCAGCGCCGACAGCCTCCTCCTTGCAGACTACGCCCCCCGGCATGCAACGCCCCCTACAGAGGCAACCGACCCCTAGGCATGGAGAGCGTGGCACCCTGGGATTTGTAGGCCGTTTGCGCAGCTCCCGCCAGAGGCTGAAAGGACCCGGGTTGCACTACCTGAGCGGCGGCCAGGGGAGGTCTCCGTTCTTCCCGATACCCATGTTCTGGCACACGGCCACTATGGAGTTTAAGGAGCGGACCATGGCGCTTCCTTTGTGCGGTCGGATCCTGCTCTCTCTCCAGCTTCCCGCTTCGTTCGGACTTTGGAACTAGCGCGCCACAGTCCCAGCCTTAGAGCACTGGGCATGCGCAGAGAGACAGACGCCTGGCCTACTTGCCCTTCACGTGACCGGGAAAGCACCAATTACCTCTCTCCCCCTCTCCAGGCCCCATCCCTTTTCCTTCCAGCTTCGCCTCTCGAGGCTGCACGTGGTGACGTGATTACATCACTGTTGTGTTCGGCGGCGCTTGCGGCGTCTGGGCTGCAGGTTCCTGCCTTTGCGATGCCGCGCGGGCGGGCGCCCAGCGGCCCCGGACGGTCGGTGCTGAGTAAATTCTTCCGGCCAGCGGGGTCCCTGCGCGTAGCCAGCTCAGCAGCCTGCTCCAGGGCGAGCGGTGACGCGGGGCTCCAGGCTCCGCACACGGTGCGCGGGGAAGGGCGCAGCAGCAGCCGGTCCGGCGTGTCGGGTGCAGGGAGCGGGGCGGGCCGCGCGGCTCCTGGGGCGGATTTTTCCTAGCGCGCCGTGTGCGTGGCTCTCCTGTAACAAACAAACCCCTGTCAGCGCCACGGCCCGTCCTGTCCCACCGGGCTCCTAAGCCTCGGGCTCATGCCCCCTCCACTTAGCTGCCGTTTGCTATAGTAGTAGCCACTGTAGTGGCTGGGGGGTTGCTTTAGAACTTGTTGGGCACCACTGCTTTGTGCTGATGGGTGACAGCTTTCCTGTTGGCATAGTTATTCCATTCCCTGGCAGTTGGTATGTCAGTGGGAGAGTGTTTCCAGCCAACATAGTACTGTCCACACTAATGCTTAGGTCAGTGTAATTTATGTTGCTCCTGAGAGCAGCTTTTCCACGTGCCTGAGCCCCTTGCAAAGTAAGATGTAGTGTGTATCAGACTTTTGGTGATGTGCAAGAGAGAACCCGTTTGTTTACTAACCCTTGCCTCAATAAGAAATGGTAGCTATGTCAGTTTTGCCAATACAGTGCTGTCTGCATGGGTGCTTAGTGTAATTTACGTTGCCTTGGAGTGTAGTTTACACACAACCTTGAATTATGTAAATTATACTGAAGTAATTTGTAGGGCAGTAGCCTGGATTAAACTTCTTTGATAGAACCTTAAGCAACAAATAGTCTTGCAGCATCTTTAAGAGTAACAAAAAAGATGAGCTTTTATGGGCATAACCTACTTCAGATGGATGAGACTTTTATGTACAATGTTTACTTAGTAAACCCTAAACATATGAAATTTTGTTCCTTTTCTGCATATTATTAAGGGCACAGGAAGCAGTAATAATCTCTTTACTTCCTAATTCAAATCCAGATAATGTTAGGTTTGAATGAGAACTCAAAATAGCCAGGAAATGCAGTTCAGCAGACACACCTACCATTGGAACTCAAGCTTCTGTGTTGTGTGTTTGCTTATATTTAGTTTTTATAAAGCTGCAATTAAAAGGAACTAAATTTAAAATCAACTTTGCCAAATTATACAAATTTGTCCGTTTTGGTGATTAATGATAATTACAAAAATATATTAAGAAAAATTATTTGCCTTGGCTCAGTGAGTGTTCAGGATTTGACAAGGTTTCTTTAAATTTATGTTCTGAGAGTTATACCATGTAAAACTCAAACATTCTCCGAAGTGGCTATTGCAGATTCCCATTCATTGGATGGCACCCCCTTTCTGCAGTTCACCTAGGCTTTGGACACTTTTTTGGAAAGCAATGCTTTTTTGGGCCCATCGTAGTATTACCTTTGCAGCATCAGATATTTGTAGTTGAGATTATAAAAGCATGGTGTTACACCAAGTATCTAATGCTTTTCTTTTCCAAAGTCAGGTGAGCATATAAGGACCTTTGTGTCTGGAGTGCTTTTAGAGTCTTTTTTTAAATTAAATTTCCCTAAATTTATAAATTGTATTGTACATAGGAAGTGTTATGAAGTTTGCTTGACTGCACAATTATGTTTCTATTCTTGACCCACTGTCCTATGATATTTTTGGTTATTACTGATCAGACCTCCAAAGAACCAGATAAGAAAGGCAGATTTAAGTCATGAGTATTTTGCCTTTTGATGTATCTGGAGGCAGGAATTCTTGGTTCTCTCTTTCTGTTCCTCAGATTGCTGCTTATTTGCTGTACTATTATTAAACCTACATCAACAAAGAGCACTAGTACAGTGCCTTTCTTAATTAGAAGAGCTTTCAGACTCAGTAACTGGAAACAGCAATAGTGGGGTCAGTGGCTTGCTGGCAATGACAATTGAGACCTGAGAATTGAGATTTGTAATACTAGAACTTTATTAATGGCAAGGGAAGTGTAAACTCTCAAGAAACCAGCAGAGCAGGTCCATTATCATTGTTGGAAAGTATAAACTGGTGTTGCTCAAGCATTGCTTTTGGAATGCTATACCAAAACAAACAAACAAAATTTTGCATACAATATTTAAAATTGTGCAAAATTCTGTGTATTTTTCAAAATACCACATTATAATCATGCCAGTTTCAATTGTTTTGGTAACTTATTTAAAAATACCTGTCCACAGGTATGTCTGTAACAATAAAGACAACAAAAATGATTCAGGAAATGTTTTGACAGGTTCTTTACATATTAACAGATGACTTTGAGTAATAATTAATTTAAACTACAATACAGACAGCCATTACTAGGTGGCTCTGCTAGGGATGTAAACTACTAGTCAGTCTCCCCTCTGCCCCCTTTTTGCTGCCTGTATCAGAGGCAGCCAGGAGGCAGGGAGCAGGAGCTGGTGCTTTTAAGCCAGCTCCCCCCAGCACCATCTCTTCAGAGTGCATGGGAGGCAGGAGGCTAGTGAGGACTGAGAGCGAGACTGGAATCCACTGATTCCCGGTTCGTACCCAGTCTTAGATTCTGCGCCTCTTCTTTTTGAATGTATTAAGATCCTGCTGTCTCTTAATACATTTAAAAATCAGATGTGCAATAGAGGGGACCCGGGTGCAAGCTGGGAATCGGCTGATTCCAGCCTTGCACCAGGTCTCCTTGCTGCGTTCCAGCCTTTTCACATTTAAGATTGGTGGGCAGTGGTGGAACTCGGCATGAGCTGGACATCAGCTGGCCCAGCTTGCACCAGGTCCTCCTGCTATGCTTCAGCCTTTTAAATGTATTAAGAGTCATCCTCTTAATACATTTAAAAGGCTGAGCCCCAGTGGTATTAGCTCCTGGGGCCGGGAGCTAACCCTACTACCTCTCCCCCACTTATCAACTAGTTGATGGAAAATCCATTGACTATCGATTAGATTATTAAACTTCTGAAACCCAGCCTGACCCTCTCAACCACTCTGTGTTCCCTCATATCCCATGTTTTCTAATGGGGTACTGTGAGGGATGCTGCATCTTCTCCTCCCTATTACCTACTGACTACTACAGCTGGTGAACTGGTTGCTTTCTATTTTGGTACCACATTACCCCCTTGTAGGTAAAAGGTGTCACTACAGCATCTCTTCAGAAGAAAGTTTTCTGCAGAGAAAAAACAGTCTTCAGAGGACATGAATTCTACATAGGTACAGTGGCACAGAATTCCTGAAGGAGTAAAGCATGTCACTCCGACAATATTTCTATGCAGATCTGACCCTCTGTTTCTCAGGAGCCTTTCTTTGAATATCATCAAACTTTCTTTCTCAAGTCATGTCCTCTAATCTAGAATCACTTTACCCTGAAGTATGGAATATCATGTGGCATGCTCTATTGAAATGTATACGATTTCTGCTATAGCCTAGAAAAACATTTTTGGCGTTCCATGCTCATAAAATGTATTTTAGAGTCATGGTTATATTTTAGTCTTTGAGCTTTCTTATGTCAGCATTTTCAGTATTACCTCAACATAGCTTTTCTACTGCGTTTAGTTCTCCTAATCTCAAAAGAGTCTTTGTGGTTATAACCTTTGTAGCAATCAGAGATCTTCTACGATAAACATGAGTCTGCTGCCGCTGAGATGACTATCACCTTTTTACTTTTTGGAAAAGTGTTCTTTATTCTTTATAATTAAAGATAGAATTTTTAATCAGTTATATTTACGAGAAGAATGAGTTACAGGTTTTCATTCATTTTGTATTATAGAGACAAAGTTGTCCTGTGTTCTCATCCAAAATTTAAATAAGAAATACTATCCAAGATCCATGTGAATCAGACCATTAAATTTTATAGTTAATTTCTCTTTGGAGAATCTCCCTACCATTGATGAAGAGGGCTTTTTATTGGGAAACCCTGTTCTAAGGGTTTTAGGAAGTCTGTGTAAAGGGAATTCTATTTCTGCTTCTGTTTAAGTGGATTAGGCTGTCCATTGAGACGTGTTCTGCATTAGCTACAGTGTCTGTGAGCCGCAGGGACTGTCAGGGCTAAGCCAACATTTATACCTTCATGATGTTTTCACCGCAAAAATGTGCAGCGCAGCGCTGCTATCTTATGTTCTATACACATTTACGTGATTACTCTGAACATGACATCTGGAATTGATGGTTACTTTGGGAAGGCAATTTTACAGTTTTTTAAACTATGTCTCCTCAACCCATTTTAAGAGTTGTGGTGTTTGTGAGAGACCTGCTAGTGGAATTGTGAAGAGCTCTATTTAGTGAAGAAACAATGTTGTTTTGAAAGTGTTGCTTCTGCATATTTCATGCTATCAGCCCGCTGTCTTTTTTCCTTGGTTATCCTTTCTTGTAGGAGTCTGAAATTTAGCAAGAAGTGAAGCAACTGAGGTTCTGTGGCCATGATATATCCTTTGTTTAGAACGGGTAAACAATAAGCAACCTGTGGGCCAGATGTAGTTTGCTAGTGTTAGCCCATGGTATGCTGTTGGCACTTTATTTACCTGTGCATCTGCAGGTACGTCTGCTTGTAGCTCCTGTTGGCTGCTGATTGCTCTTCCTGGCCAATGTGAGTTGTGGGAAGTGGCGTTTGAGCTTCCACAACTTCCATTGGCTGGGAACAGTGATCTGCGGCCAACGGGAGCTGCAAGCAGCCATACCTGAGGGTGTGCAGTTAAGTAAAGCACCGGTAGCCTGCTAGGGGCTAATGCTGGCAAACACATATGGTCCTTGGGCCACACGTTGCCCA